TGTTTTGAAATAAATGTATTTTTGAACACAAAAAAACGGGCCAAACTAATTGTACTCCCAATAATATTAAATGGCCTTCTAAATACCATACAGTTTGACTGAACTGCAAGTCTTGCTCGGTTTTTGCTGTTATTTTGCTATCAAGTGCAGATCTTGCTTTATATTTGGCGTCAATTTGGTCTCAAATTATGTGCAAGCTTTGCTCGGTTTTTGCCAGCAATTTCCTATTATGTTTTTTCAACAAGCTTGGATATATTTTTGTTAGCAAGTTTGCAATATTGCCAGATAAAACAAACTCTGCATCATATTTGATGTCTTTTTGCTAACAAAATTTGTAACAAGCATTTGGCAAAATCTGTTTCGACAGATTTGGTTATTTGGGTATCCACACAACACGAGTGACTGATTTTTGACTTATAGTCGATCTTTTTCATTCAACTTATTGTCGACTTTTAAAAGTTGACTTTAAATTGACTTTTAGCAGACGACTTAAAGTTGACTTTCAAAAGTCGACTATAAATTGACTAGAGTCGACTATTTGCCGAAAATTAGATGGCTTTGAAAGATGAATTAAACATAATTATTGGCGTCTTAAATACACATAAGTGTACTTGTCATCGCGCTAACGTATATATTTATGCATTCGTGTAAATATCTGACGCCTCCAGTCTCAGTAAGTGTCAATTAATTATTGTGTTATTGCGTCGGTTCCCAAACAACACGAAGTCAACTAAAAGTTGACTATAAGTTGACTGGAGAAGTCAAGAGTTGACTTTTAAATCAGCCTGAATGTTAACTTATAGTCAACTAAAAGATGACGAATGTCCCAAAAATAGTCGACTGTCAGGCAACTATCCGAATTCATTACTAGTTGACTGTAAGTTGACTAAAAGTTGACTTTGAAATAGACTAAACGTTGACTAGAAGTAGACTTTGAGTTACATAAAGATCGACTACGAGTTACTATAAGTTGAATAAACGTTGACTAAACGTTAACTGTAACTTGACTATTACTAGCGCAACTTTTGTTAACTTATGGCACATTGCATGACTACAAAATATCTTACAGGCATCAGTGCCCAATAATTTAAGAAAAGTAAAACTATAAATAATACGTAGCTATTTGATAGTTTATATTTTAGTAGTGATATAAGGCCGGTTCTAAGCCAGGAGCTCCAAGGGGGGCGCGGGAAATGACGTCACAAGGAGAGGGGTGACGTTACATGGAGGGGAGGGGGTATGACGTCACAAGAGGAGGGGGTATGACGTTACTATGACGTCACGCGGGGAAAGGAAGAGTATGACGTCACAGGGGGAGGGGTGGCGTCACTATGACGTCACGCGGGGGCGTGGCTCTGACGTCACAGGATTTGACGTCACGCGGGCAATATGGCAACTTCAAGGTATGTACAGTGCGGAGCACCATATCGTGCGCCATGAGGAGAAGTAGTTCTCCTCCGGCTGCCTCCTACTAGCACGCGCCAGCGGTCCGAGATTTAATCCATATGTACCGGCACGGTTACCGATGATACATACCGACACGGTTACCAATAATACCGACAGCCATATGTTACCATAAAATTATCGCGAACATTGAAAAGAGTAACTGCATTGAAAGTGACTTTAATAATTTATATCATATTTATTTATTTAATTATTAGCTTTTACGTGATATAAGAAACTTACTTACGGTATGTGTAAAAAAGTAAAATATATTTAATTAAGAAAGTAAAAAAGTATGACAACAGAGAAATGTCATAGTGAATCAATTATTAAAAAATTAAGAATAAAAAATAACATACTATAATAGATTTGTGTATAATTAGCGTTAAATTGTCTTTAAAACATCAAAAATAAAAACTAGTAAGGCAATATTATAATAGTTATGTTTATATATAAATATATACATATATAATTGTATATGTATTTAAAACTTTAACAAAATAATGATAATAACAAATAATGTGTGTGTGTGTGTGAAAAGGTAAGAAGAATGACACAAAAATTATTTTATATAAATTTTGAAGCAGTTACGCGAGATTTTATTTTATAGGTTTGCACTCAGAAATATTCTTCTGTAAAATATATATTTATAGTTCTGACAAGAACCGTTTAATGTGACTCTGTAAAATATTTTTTGTGGCTCTGAAAAAAGCCGTTAAATGTAGTTCTGATGAACGCGAGAGATATTTTTGTTAAATAAATGTGTGGTTCTGAAAAGAACTGTTTCTAAGAGCTTTGACTTAATAGTCGGCCCAATAACCGTTTTGGTCGACAACTTGTTGCAGTCTAGTATTGATCGATGCATTTAAATTAACTCTGGCTGTGTTCTTAAGTTCTGTTCTTAAACTCTTCATAATTAAAAGTATATTTATATTATTCTAGAAAACAGAGTATGTATGAAATTTGGAGCTATCGCAAAGCCACGAAAATCGCGACAGGCGCGGCGCGAGATCAGAAAGTGCGGCGCGCTTTGCTTTGATCTCGCGCTACTGATTTTTCATCAGTCCTTTGCGACAGCTCCAAATTTCATACATACTCTGTTTTCCAGAATAATATAAATATACTTTTAATTATGAAGAGTTTAAGAACAGAACTTAAGAACACAGCCAGAGTTATTTTATAATTTAAATGCATCGATCAATACTAGACTGCAACAAGTTGTCGACCGAAACGGTTATTGGGCCGACTATTAAGTCAAAGCTCTTAGAAACAGTTCTTTTCAGAACCACACATTTATTTAACAAAAATATCTCTCGCGTTCATCAGAACTACATTTAACGGCTTTTTTCAGAGCCACAAAAAATATTTTACAGAGTCACATTAAACGGTTCTTGTCAGAACTATAAATATATATTTTACAGAAGAATATTTCTGAGTGCAAACCTATAAAATAAAATCTCGCGTAACTGCTTCAAAATTTATATAAAATAATTTTTGTGTCATTCTTCTTACCTTTTCACACACACACACACATTATTTGTTATTATCATTATTTTGTTAAAGTTTTAAATACATATACAATTATATATGTATATATTTATATATAAACATAACTATTATAATATTGCCTTACTAGTTTTTATTTTTGATGTTTTAAAGACAATTTAACGCTAATTATACACAAATCTATTATAGTATGTTATTTTTTATTCTTAATTTTTTAATAATTGATTCACTATGACATTTCTCTGTTGTCATACTTTTTTACTTTCTTAATTAAATATATTTTACTTTTTTACACATACCGTAAGTAAGTTTCTTATATCACGTAAAAGCTAATAATTAAATAAATAAATATGATATAAATTATTAAAGTCACTTTCAATGCAGTTACTCTTTTCAATGTTCGCGATAATTTTATGGTAACATATGGCTGTCGGTATTATTGGTAACCGTGTCGGTATGTATCATCGGTAACCGTGCCGGTACATATGGATTAAATCTCGGACCGCTGGCGCGTGCTAGTAGGAAGCAGCCGGAGGAGAACTACTTCTCCTCATGGCGCACGATATGGTGCTCCGCACTGTACTATTTGCTATATGCATGGTATATACTCGTACTTCTTACTGTGACGTCACGCGGGGAAGGAAAGGGGATGGCGTCACAGGGAAAGTGGTATTGATGTCACGCGGGGAGGGGGTAATGACGTCACAGAATATGACGTCACGCGTGGGGCGTGGCTCTTACGTCACAGGATATGACGTCACGCGGGGCACTGCAAGATATGACGGCACGCGGCGGAGGACCCCTTTTATGGCAACTTCACACGCGCACCAGAAGCGACACGCGATTCGACAATATGGCGGCGGCTCGACAATATGGCGACTCCAAGGTAGGTACTTGTTACTGCGGTACTACGCATAGTATTTTGTAATGTAACAATATAGCGGGTTTTCGGCATGCGGTAATATATGGTATTTTGTAATGTTACGTAACAATATGGCAAATCCAAGAAATATATGTTCTTTATATAACATATATACATATAGAACAGCAACTCTTGTACATATTTTTTCGACATGTGCCGCGGTATGTAACATTATACGCAGTGCGCGTAAAGTTGCAGAATTGCAATTTTTAGCGAGAACGTGCGAAGTTGCATTTTTAGTTTTAGCGCAAAATAACAAAGCCGTACTATTCATTTTTTTATTCCCATTTGTACATGTTTTTTTCAGCATGTTCCGCGGTATGTAACATTATACGCAGTGCGCGTAAAGTTGCAGAGTTGCAGCTTTTTAGCGAGAACGTGCACAATTGCAGTGTTTATGTGTTAGCGCGAAGTAACAAACCCGTACTATTCATTTTGTGTATTCCCATTTTATTAAGATCGTTTTTATATATAAATCCATGGAATAAAATACAGCAACTATGTATTGTTGCATTGCACATATGTCTTTCGGCATGTGCCGCGATATGTAACACTATACACAGCTAAAGGTGCAGAGTTGCAGTTTTTAGCGAGAACGTGCAAAGGTGCTTTTTTATTTTATTTTAAAGCGAAGTAATTGTTTTAGCGAGAAATAACAAAGACGTAGTATTCCCTTTTTTGTTATATTTGAAGTTCATGAAAAGTATTATTTACATGCATCATATATATTTTGACTGAATAAAGTTACGAACTTGTGTATTTATTTTATGTATGTTTTCTTTATTTTTATTTACTTGTTATTTATTTTTATGTATTTTTATTGAGTTATTTGTATTTATTTTTTATTATATTTAGTTGTTTGTCTTTAAATCTATTCTTATGTATATAGGTATAGGGAAAGTCGGGAATCGGATGGGATCAAAAGTTGCTCATTAACAAACTCATAATTGTAATATACAGAGAAAAACTCTATTCGTTTTTGTTTATCACATAAAAAGCAAACTTTATAAAGATTTAATTTTTTTAGTTATTGTTTATTATATTTAGTTTTCATGACGTCACGCGGCAATATGGCGGAGCAAGAAATGACGTCACGTTAGCAGCAGCCCCGATGACATCACGCGGCAATATGGCGGCAGGCCCCGATGACAGTATGGCGATGCAACAATATGGCGACTCCAAGGTATGTACTTGTTCCTGCAGTAATATACATGATATTTTTAATGTTATGTAACAATATGGCGACTCTAAGACATATATGTTTTTATATAACATGAAAAAACTATTGTACATATCTTTTTTTCGGCACGTGCCATTATACGCAGTGCACGTAAAGTTGCAGAGTTGCACTTTTTTAGCGAGAACGTGCACAGTTGCAGTTTTACTTTTAGCGCAAAGTAGCATTTTTTAATGTTGCGCAACACTATGGCGACTCCAAGAAATATATGTTGTTATATATATGAACAAACAGCAACTATGTATTGGTGCACATGTCTTTCGACATGTGCCGCGGTATGTAACATNATACACCGCGTAAAGTTGCAGAGTTGCAATTTTTTAGCAAGAGTATTGCAAAATTGCATTGTTTTATTTTAGCGCGAAGTAATTGTTTTAGCAAGAAATAACAAAGACGTAATATTCACTTTTTATATTTAAAGTTTATTCATGAAATATATGATTTACATGCATTATATATTTTTACAGAATATATTTTTTGGCATGTGGTTGAACGTGATTGTTCGTGGTTCGCTTATTGTTGAACGTGGTCCGTTTATGGTTTGATTATGATTAAACATGGTTTGTTCATGGTTCGATTATGGTTAAACATGGTTTGTTCATGCAAACAACAATCCATGTTGAACCATAAACGAATCACGTTCAACCATAAACGAACCATGTTTAACCGCAAACGAACTATGTTTAACTAAAAACGATCCACGATCAACTATGGAACCACGTTAAACCGCGATTAATACCGTTAATCTATATAAATATGCTATGGAACAAGATAGTAAATGTACAACTAAAGTTGTTGCGTATAACATTTTATTGTCGTTTAGATCACCTAGTAAATATTTTAAATACATTTTGTAATGCGCAATGTTTCACATGTTTTTCACATCGTAGACAATTCAATACATTCAATTTATTGAAAGAAGCAATATCGTCGTAATCGGCATTCAATGTTTTACTAATTAATCCACGTTGTACGTCACTATCGAAAATATCAGTTAGCCAGTTACATTTTTCAGGACCTTTAACATAGATGAGTTAAGATGCGTTGTCATTATTTTCTGCAGTGCCACAAATAGCTGTTGTAATCAAAGTTTTCGCTCTGCGGTATGCAACATTTCCATCTTCCCAACGCAGCCCGAGATGATGCGTCATCAACCAAGAAGCTGCTGACCTGTCTGATTTTGCAAGTAGATTCCACGGAAAGGGGCTTTCAAAAAAAAATGTAATGCGAGAGAACACTACCTTTTTGCAATATCGCCACTTCTTTGATTACACCATATATACATAATTATTGTTATTACACATATTAAATGGCGATATACATATACTCTATTATATTATATACGGTTTTCTTGTGGTATTTTGTAATATCCCCATGGTAACGTTTTGGTAGAATCGGGTACCATATACCGCTTATCGTCGTACGGACTTAGAGCAAGTTTCGATTCAGACACAGCGTCTTGATGCGACATGATTGTACTTTTTAGTTTCATGCGCACTTTGGTATAAAATAATCGCAGAGCTGGCGCCAAGAAAATAGACCATGTACAACCGTAGCAGTCTGATAGAAGTTCATCATCCTTCAGGACGTGAGAAAAGACACACAGATTCTACATACATTTAACAAATGTTTTTTGTTAACTTCGTGTAACTTTGATCGTATACACGACTGTTGACACACCTTTTTGATTTCATCATTCAAACATTGTTTGTAATCGTCAAACATTAATGTTCTTGCTACGACGCTACTCTTTACACCCTTGACCTTTTTGGTGTCTTTCTTTCTATCTACTTTTAATGCATGCATTTTTGCTCTAAGTCCGACGAATTCAGTCATTATCATTCGTTATTTTCATCTTTCATCAATCCTGGAACTTTTTTTGTTGACGCGTGGCATACCATACACATTATCAGTCGGATAATCAAATGTGTCGAATCGAGCGATGTCACGTTTCATGATATCGTACACGTTCTCGCATTCGATAAAATAAATAAGACTGTCTGTGTCGGTGTACATAATTTTACATTTTTCTTGGTACCATAGAGGTGCCATATAATTATATAATAATGGTGAAATTCATACAAACACGTCTTAGATATGTCTAATATACACACATTCCTACGTAAATCGGTTTGTTGAATTTCACTTCGAGTTTACGCAATTCAACCGCAATAACATTTTCAGGAAAAACACTTCGACTATGAAAAGTTGGTCGGGAGATCAATGCTTCCGCACCATATCTTCCATCCCACTTTGTTACAAGTTTTATGTCTACACGGTTTCATAAATTTTCCATAGTTTTGCCAAAAACTGCGTTATTCATCAATTTGTACAAAATTTTCTCAAAGTCGTTGGTAGCGAGCGTTCGAAATTGTGTATTTAATTCGATGTAACTGCGGAGCCGCGGAGATTGCGCGAACTGTAATATGCGGTGAATCTTTGTAATACGAAGATCGTGTCGCACACATTGTTGCAGGGCACGTTACTGAATAATATAACGCGATTTATCGTGTAGTGTTGCGAGTAGCTTCTCCTGTCGCATGCCAGTTTATTGCGCGTCGGGCAGGTCAGCGTGCGCGTTATGTAGTTCGCGAGGATACTCGAGGTTGACTTCAAAGATGTAACCGATATCTGAGGTTGCTGTCACAGACATTACGTCGACACTCTAGATGTTGTCCACCCATTGGAATGCGGCATACGGTAATGGCAGACACATTGCCCAGCCGTACAAGTTATTTATATTAAAGTACATGAGATACGACGTTGGTTTTGATGAGTCGTATGTCCGCATGTACTCGTTATTCGCGTGCGCATATCTTGCGCTGCACTGGCTAAGACCACCGCGTATACCCCGTTCGATAAACATAACCATATCAACATCTGTGAGCAGGTCGAACGTTATGCCTGTATGTTTTAGCATAGCGTCCCACGTGTAACCGGGTAAAGTATAATAATGCGCGGGATCTAATCCCCGTAACTTCGAATACAACTTTCTCGAAAATTCTCAAATATGTCGGCCAATAATAAAACATCAGTCTTTAAATATAAATCGCTGTATTCACCTAACGTACGTATAGAGAATCGTTGCCAAATGTTTACAGCGTGTGCATATTCACTCTCAGATATTGTTTCACCGGTCAGAGAACTGTAAAATGACTCGCGCTGTAGTAAACGCTGCTCCCGCAACTTGTCGACACAGTCTACGTATTCGTATGGAAAGACCCTTTTACGCGCTTATAATTCAAAGTTTTCGACGGATAAATTTCTGAATTCTGATTGTACAATTATTTCAACTTGTCTTTATGAAGAAACGATGCTAGTTTATCGAGACTAGCACTGAGAAATTTGTACAAATCAATGAATCGCAACTCTATATTGTATTTAATACGCAGTTAGCAATTTTGATGTAATCAACAAGTTTTATCTTATAAAATAGGATTATGTTACTTCAATACGTGATCAAATCGATGACATCTGATATCCAAACATGCCTGCTTTTGCGGAAAAAAATTGTTCTCTCGTATAAAATAAACATGTTATTTCGATATGTAAACATTGCAAAAATAAGCGTGTTTCTGAGTCATAAATTTTGATGTCATCATTTTTTCTAATAAAGTGGTGGGGTTAGGCGGTATTTAAGAAGGCTTTTACGTCCCATTATTCGACTTTTAACCGTGGTTCAAGAAGACGTAATGTATACTAACAGAAAGTGCAACAGCGAGATGAAAACTGCACGCAACAAGTAAGTAAACTGTTACATTATTTGGCTTTTGTTTTGTTTTTGACACATACGTCATTCACTTGTGTTTTTTTACAGTTTTTTTACAAACTGCGTCTTTACCACATCAGGCAACTCGCATTTTGGGAAGACGATACGCGCTAACGTCAACAGAATACAAACACATTGAAATTGGAATAAGTGTTGGCCCAATTTCTTATGTGGAGATAGTTATCGGAGATAATCATGGAAATTCAATGCTTCTACCATTTTCTACATGGCAAACAATCATCCAGAAGCAGACAGATATTCACCAACTACTACAATCGACAGAAGCATCTGCTACAATGTGGCTTCGCAATTTAGCGCTCAATATCGTTATTATTCGCGACGCACGAATTGTAAAATTTACATTAAACGACAAGTGTTTGTATTATACATGAAACCACCGACCGTAAAATTCTTGTTAACTTTGAATTTATGTATTGAAAACATGTATTACTGGTTGGCTGAACACACTCATGTAGTAAACACAAAGTTTGCGCACTTTGTTCGCGTTCTACGAGAACAGAATATTACTGATGTATGCAACGCTGCAAAAGCGACAGTGGAGTGTATGACAAT